CATATAGGGCTCACAGTAGGGGCTGGAGATTTTTTCCATTTCAGTCAAAATGTTCGATATGTACCGAACCTAATTTGTACTGAACAATTACTTCCTAATTTTCTAGGTGAGGCAACTGAAGCCAAGAGAAATTGTAACTTGTCCACAAGAGACTAGGAGAGCTACCACACTTCCCTCTGGTCTTTAATTTCTAGTCAAAAGCATGACTATGCTAGCTTAAAATATCTAGAGCATCTATAAAATATCTAGAGTATGTATTGCTGCACGGGTGGGGGGGGCGGTTGGGAAGAGGCAATGACCTGGACTTTTGTTGCCAAGTCCCTCAGCAACAGGCAGTGACTGGTTAACTCAGATCCGTCTGCTGTATTGGTCTAATTTGAATGGAAACACCATCCTGTACTTTAAGCCAGCTCTTAAAAGAGTTGTCCTTCCTAAATCCAACACAAGATTCACTCCAATTCTCAATCTTCTGAAGGTTTGTTTAGAAAGCTCAGATCAGGTTTTCTTCTGAGTCCCACACACACACCAAGTGGACCTCCCAGGGACACTAGCCAGCAGCAGAACTGCTGATCTCCTTGGCTATACTAGATTCAACTACAACTGTAACGCAACAGTTCCCAGGTAGAAGTTAGATTTTGCTAACTCTTCCCCAAGTTTGTGATATCTTCAAGCAGATTCTATTACCTGTGAAAAAGTTTTGCTTTCATGGGGCTGGGAAACAGAACAGACTTTAAAAAGCTAAATTTCCTTTTGGAAATGACAATTATAGGGGCTGGGCGCAGCGGCTCCCGCCTGTAATCCCAGCACTTTGGGAGGCCAAGGCAGGTGGATCACGAGGTCAGAGATTGAGACCATCCAGGCTAACACAATGAAGCCCCATCTCTACTAAAAATTCAATAAATTAGCCAGTTGTGGTGGCACGTGCTTGTAGTCCCAGCTACTCGGGAGGCTGAGGCAAGAGAATCGCTTGAACCCAGGAGGTGGAGGTTGCAGTAAGCCGAGATCCTGCCACTGCACTCCAGCCTGGGTGACAGAGAGAGACTCCATCTCAAAAAAAAAAAAAAAAAAAAGAAAAGAAAATGACAAATATATTCTCATAGCCACTTTAAAATGTAAAATGGAAGCAGAGATGTGTCAGAAGAGGAAGCCAAAGAGATCTGAAGGATGAGAAAGGCACAATGAACTGTTGAAGGCTTGAAGATGGGGGCACGTGGAAGGTGTGAGAAGTAATTGAATTTTGGCAATACCCAGAGAGCCTGGAAGAGGACCCTGAGCCCCAGAGGACAACACAGCCTCAATCAACACCTTTTTAGCCCAGTGAAATTTTGAGCAGAGAACCCAGCCAGATCATGTCAGACCTCTGACCTACAGAAACCGAAGTAATAAATGTGTTTTTAGAAATTAAACACAAAAATCAAAATAATACTAAGAGGTCCTGAGTTGGTTCATGCAAGATGTGGGTTCAAGTGGTAGCTTTACCACTCACCTGCTGTACGACTTGCACTGTGTCTTCTAACCCCTGAGTCTCATCTCCCATCTGTACACTGGGGGTGGGGAATGTGAATAGTAGTATCTACTTTCTATAGTATGAAGAGCAAAAGGAAACATTTTGCATGCTGTATGGCATTCTGTAAATACTAAGTTTTTACCATAAATTTTCCCCCACAAAAATCAATGTGTTGATATAGATTCTCCATCTCTCCACATATTCCCCTCATTTTAATGAAGCATTAAGTTAGATAACTATTGTGTCAAATATTTCTTTGTTAAACAATGACATAAAAAAAACCTAAAAACAAAATATATTTACTGAGGGGGTCATACCTCTCTCAACACAGACAAGCTTGAAATGTATTTCTCCTGTCCCAGCTTTGCCCCCTCTTCTCCTTTCAGAACAATGCCTGGATAAAAACTGACCACTCGGCCAGGCGCACTGGTTCATGCCTGCAATCCCGGCACTTTGGGAGGCTGAGGCAGGTGAATAACTCGGGGCCAGCAGTTCGAGACCAGCCTGGCCAATGTGATGAAACCCCACCTCCACTAAAAATACAAAAATTAGCCAGGCACGGTGGTGTGTGCCTGTAGTCCCAGCTACTCGGGAGGCTGAGGCAGGAGATTCGCTTGAACCCAGGATGTGGAGGTTACAGTGAGCAGAGATAGTGCCACTGCACTCCAGTCTGGGCGACAGAGTGAGACTCTGTCTCAAAACAACAAAAAAAAAAACTGATCAACTACACTTAATAGCTGCAAGCACACCTAACTCAGTGGCTTGCTCTTCTCACACCTCCTTAACAACCAACACTTAGAAGCACTTTGACATTCAGGATTTTCCTCGAGCCACCTAAGCCTGATCTGAGATAAAGATGAAATGACACTCTACAATAAAGGGCTGGCCCCAGACCATACCACCAGCCAAGAGCGCAGTCAGGCCTAGAACTGAAGCCATCTTATTGCAAGCTGGGTGTCTGTCTCCAAGCCCACACCACCTGGATTGGCAGAGGGCTGGGAGGACAAAGGATGCCACACACTCGCTCTGGGCCCAGGGTGGCACCAGGTTTGCCAGCCCTTTCCCAGCACCCTGTTCACATGCCCTTGTGGTGCCAAAGTCCGAGAGCCAGGCTAAAATTCAGGACACACCATGCAGGATGGTATGCGGACTTGTTTGTTTCAAAATGAATTGGCTTGTCTTCAAAACTTAAGTCAAGGCTGATCAATAATCAGAAGTCTCACAACTTACCTCAAAAATACCTTCATGTTCATTTTCTTTGAATGTCTTCAGTACTACTGACGTTAACTATCCCTCTGCTCACCCCAAAATAAATATATCTCTTGAATCATGTCAGGTCCTTAAGGAACTACAAATAAAATGACCAACATGTAACTTAATTTCTTTCTCATCAAAAGCCTGAATTCCAGATTTAACATCTAAAAAAAGCAAAACTGAGGGCAAATATGGCACTGATAAAAATCAAAAATCATAAAGGCAGAAAATGGAATTGAAAGGACTTCTTTATGTATGAGAAATTACGTTCACTATTTAGAGGCCCTTTCTAGCTTTTGAAACTGCCAGCTGATTTATTTAATAGTAGGCTACAAATACACATTTGGTACAAGTTGGTAATGTTAAGAAAGGCATTAGATCCAAGTTAACAGTTGCTTTGAGTCTTGATTGTAGATATCAAAAGGAACTCATGAGAATGTACTTTGCAGGGGAGAGGCAAGCACCTGAGCATTTGGGTTAATTTGTATAGATTTAGCTGTAAGTCTGGTTCCAATATTAGCAAGTCAGATGCACACTGCCTTATTTTTCTAATTACCTTCCATCTCCTAACCTTCTCTAGCCAAACCCCAAGGAGTGAGATGAGGGGATCTTGGGGGTACCCACCATAACACAGCCTCTAAGTGATGATTTGAAATAATACATTCTTACATACATCTCCACTGATGCAGATAAATGAGAGGGTAGTACGTTCTCTTAAGACTCAGATTTGGGAGTGAAAGACTCAAAATTACTAATGAAAGAGCATTACAGCTTTCAAGTCGTAATTCATTTCTGTCACTCATCAGTGTGACCCTAAGCTAGACTTGAACACAAAACATTGCTTTCTCCATAAAATGGATCTAATCTGCTCCATTTATCTCAAAGGATTTTTCCTAAGTTCTTTAGTTTACGTAAAAATATACAAATAAAACATAATTGCCATTAACACATTTAAGCAGACTTGTTTCCTTTTTCTCAGAGTTGGGCATTATCTTTAGGGTCTAAAGAAAACTAGATTTATTATCTAACAAATGAAAATAATTAAATTACAGAAAAACTAATTATAGTGCTCCTCCAAATCACCAGATTCATAATTTACATTGCAATGAGTTTGCTGGTTAGGGAACTGATTAAAATCGCTGCTATATAAAATGGGTCATTCAATATTTCTTTGGGAATGCAAATTCGAGTTTAGCAAATAAGCACACTTTCAAAATGAACTAATGTTGAGATTCTAGGAGATGATTAAGAAAATTAAGAAACCATAACCCAAAAATGTTTTTAAATGATCTTACTGATTGCCTTAAAACTGAATGATTAGAAAATGAAATTTGAATTGTACGTCAATTGTAAACCTTTGTATGCAGGTACCATTTTAGAAGTATCTAGCCTTCAATAAAAAGGCTTCAGCACCAGCACAGGAGAGGACGCTTTCAGTTTTGTAGAAACACAAGTCTAGCTGTTAACTAACCTTTGGCACCCATCTTTAGGCCTGCCTTGAATACTAATCAAGTGGAAATGACCTTAACACTCTAAATCCTTTCTTAAAAATCGTAACAAGGAAACACATTCCTCTAACAGACTTTTGGAAGGTTGGAACTGACCTTAGCATTTAGTCCAATCTTCATTTTACAGAACAAATGGCTTTGGCATTTGGCAGCATTTTTTATAGAAATGATCTTGGCAGCATTCTTTATTAGAATGATCAATGATCTGTATTATTGGTTATTTCTCTGGATGATGATCAATTCCTGTGTGGTGGCAGTGTGGACTATCACACCTACAAATAAGAAAGTACGTAACAAATAAAGG